CTAACTAGAAGTCTACATGTAGAAAAATGCAAATACATCCATACTTATCACCCTGCACAAAACTAAAGTCCAAGTGGATCAAAGACCTCAACATAAAACCAGACACATTAAATCGGTTAGAAGAGAAAGTGGGGAATACCCCTGAACTCATAAGTACAGGAGACAACTTCCTGAATAGAACACCAACAGCACAGGCTCTAAGAGCAACAATCAATAAATGGGACCTCATAAAACTGAAAAGCTTCTGTAAAGCAAAGGACACTGTCCTCAGAACAAAACGATAGGCAACAGATTGGGAAAGAATCTTCACTAAATGTATATCTGACAGATGGCTAATATCTAGTATATATAAAGAAGTAAAGAAGTTAAACAGCAAAAAATCAAGTAATCCAATTAAAAAATGGGGTACAGAGCTAAACAGAGAATTCTGTGCAGAGGAATATCGAATGGCAGAGAAACACTTAAAGGAATGCTCAATCTCATTAGCCATCAGGGAAATGTGAATCAAAACGACCCTAAGATTTCACCTTACACCCATCAGAATAGCCAAGATCAAAAACTCAAGAGACAACACCTGTTGGAGAGGTTGTGGAGAAAGGGGAACCCTCCTCCACTGCTGGTGGGAATGTAAACTTGTATAACCACTCTGGAAATCAATCTGGTGCTTTCTCAGACAACTAGGAATAGCGCTTCCTCAAGATCCTCCTAGGTATATATCCAAAAGGGGCTCAAGTAACACAATAAAGACATTTTCTCAACCATGTTTGTAGCAGCCTTATTTGTAATAGCCAGAAGCTGGAAACAGCCCAGATGCCCCTCAGTGGAGGAATGGATGCACAAATTGTGTTATATCTACACAATGGAATATTACTCAGCAATAAAAAACAAGGAAATCATGAAATTTGCAGGTAAATGGTGGGATCTGGAAAAGATTATTCTGAGTGAGCTATCGCAGAAGCAGAAAGATGCACATGGTATATACTCACTCATAGAGACATATAATACAGGATAAACCCACTAAAATCCGTACACCTAAAGAAACTAATCAAGAGGGAGGACTCTTGCTAAAATGCTCAATTCCTATCCAGAAAGGCAAAGAGGCTGGATATTAGAAGAAGGAGAAAAGAGGGAACAAGTCAGGAGCCTGACACAGAGGATCTCTGAAAAGCTCTGCCCTGCAGACAATCAATGTAAATGCTGAGACTTATGGACAACCTTTGGGCAGAGTGCAGGGAATCTTAGGAAAGAAGTGGGAAACAGTAAGATCTGGAGAGGACAGGAACTCCACAAGGAGAGCAACAGAACCAAAAAATCTGAGCACAGGGGTCTTTCCTGAGACTGATATTCCTAACAAGGACTATGCACGGAGATAACCTAAGACCCCCGCACAGTTCAGTGGGTTTCATTGTAATAGGAACAGGGACTGTCTGTGACTTGAACTGATTGGCCTGCTCTTTAATTACCTCCCCTTGAGGGGGAAGCAGCATTACCAGGCCGCAGAAGAAGACAATGCAGCCACTCCTGATGAGAACTAATTGACTAGGATCAGAAGGAAGGAAAAGAAGACCTCCCCTATCAGTGGACTTGGGGAGGGGCATGCATGCAGAGGATGGAGGAAGGGAGGGATTGGGATGGGAAGAGGGAGAGAAACACAGGGGGTATATCAAGTGAATAAAATGTAATTAATAATGAAAAAAACTTTGAAATTTAGAAGGACTTTCAAGTTCTGAAAGACCATAGGTGCCAATTCAGACTACTAACACAGCCAACCTATCTCTCATAATTAAAAAGAAAGAAATACTTTCCATAATAAGAAGAGGTTAAGGGACTTTAAAACTTAAAGCCAGCTCTATAGAGAATGATGGAAGGAAACCTCCAAAATTAAAGAAGGGATAAGCATATGTGGGAAGCCAACAACAACAACAAAAAATGTTAAAACCTTTCTTATAGAAGGAAGGCCAAGGAAACACATCAACAAAGTGACATTAATTCAATAATAACCTCAAATATTGGTAGACTCTATTCCGCAATCAAATGACATAGACTATCCAACTAGATTAGAAAATGGGATTAATTTTTATGTGATGTACAAGAAACAATCTCACTTTTAATTATAAACATTAGAGTGAAATAATTGCAAAAGGTATTCCAAACAATTAGGACAAGGAAGCAAGCAGCCATCACCACTTTAATATATGACAAAATGGACTTCAAAGCAAATCTAATCAGAAGAGATAAAGACAGATGCTTTAATATGATCAAGGGAACAGCCCTCCAAAAAGGACATTGCAGTCATGGACATATATGTAGCAAATACGTATATACAAAAATACTACTAGGCATTAAACAACAGATCAACCCCAACACTGTAACAGTTGGTAACTTTAATACTCTACTTTCATGGATGGCCAGATCATCCTTTAAAAGAGAGACAGAGACACAGAGAAAGAGAATACAGCCAGTCCTGATGAGATCAGATAGGCTAGGGTCAGAGGGAAGGGGACAAGGACCTTCCCTATCAGTGGACTGGGGAAGTGGTATGGGAGGAGAAGAGGGATAGAGAGTTGAATTGGAAGGGGATGAGGGAGGGGGCTATAGCTGAGATACAAAGAGAATAAATTATAATTAATAATAAATAAATTAATTTAAAAAACAAAATGATCAAGTCATAAAAAAAGAAACAGAGTGAGATAGAGAGAAACAGAGGAAGAAAGAGAAAAACATCACAGATAAAATAAAACTAAGAGGTATTTCTAAAATATCTCACCCAAGCAATATACAAGATATTCTGCCTACCAGTCCATGAAATTTTCTCTAAAATATACTAAGTACTGAGGTACAAATCAAATCTCAAAAAGTTCAGAAAAACTGAAATTATGCCTTATACTCTGACTACAAATATATAAAGCTTGAAATCAATAATTAAGGAAAGAGGAAAATATATGACTTCATAGAGATTAAACAACTCATATTGAAGGAGAGATGGGTCAATGGAGAAATCAAGAACAACTTTTAATATTCCCGGAATAAAATAAAATATAAAGATAACATAGCAAAAATTGTGAGATATAATCAAAGTAATCCTGGGAGGAAAGCGTACAGCTCAATGTAACTACATTAAAAATCAGAGAGAAATCAAATTACTTAATCATATTCCTTATGAGTTTAGAAAAAAATAAAAACAGATTAAAGCCAAAAGCAGATGGGGAGAAATACTTCAAACCAGGGAAGATGTTAATGAAACAAACAAGAAAACAAAGAATCAGTGAAGCCAAGAGTTGGTTCTTTGAAAATACAAACAAAATTGGTAAACTATTAGCCAAATTAACCAATAGAAAAAAAGACTCAAATTAAGAAAACTAGAGATAAAAAGGGAGACATGACGACACATTAAACATAGAAAATTATGGGGCATACTTATAAAACTCATAATTCACAAAGCTGAAAAGTCTAAGAGCAACAGATGGGTTTCTAGACAAACGTCATTCACCAAAGTTACACCTATATGATAATAAACTTTACAACAAGCAAAGAGATCTATGTAATAAAAATAATCAATGGATTCTAGGGGGAGGACAGTTGTTTCTCCAATCATGTACCCACTGGTGAACCCCCTAAACTTAAAAAAATAGTTTCAGCTTTATTTGTAATAGCCAGAAGCTGGAAACAACCCAGATGCCCCTCAACTGAAGAATGGATGCAGAAACTGTGGTACATCTATACAATGGAGTATTACTCAGCAATGAAAAATAAGGAAATCATGAAATTTGCAGGTAAATGGTGGGACCTGGAAAGGATCATCCTGAGTGAGTTGTCCCAGAAGCAAAAAGACACGCATGGTATATACTCACTCATATAAACATACAATATAGAATAAACCCACTAAAATCTGTACATCTAAACAAACTAAGCAAAAGAGAGGACCCTAACTAAAATGTTCAATCCCCATCCTGAAAGGCAAAGAGGATGGACATCAGAAGAAAAAGAAAATAGGAAACAACCTCAGAAACTGCTACAGAGGGCCTCTGAAAGCCAGAAGAAAACAGGAAACAACCTTGAAACCTGCCACAGAGGGCCTCTGAAAGCCTCTGCAGTATAGACTGTCAAAGCAGATGCTGAACCTGATGGCCAACTGATGGGCAGAGTGAATGGAATTCTATGTAAGAAGTGGGAAATAGTAAGAGCTGGAGGGGACGGAAACTCCACAAGGAGAGCAACAGAACAAGATAATTTGAACACAGGGAACTTCCCAGAGACTCATACTCCAACCAAGGACTATTCGTGGAGATGACCTGGAACCCCTGCACAGATGTAGCCCATGGCAGTTCAGTGTCCAAGTGGGTTACATAGTAATGGGAAGAGGGACTGCCTCTGACATAATCTGATTGGCCTGCTCGTTGATCACTTCCCCCTGAGGGGGGAGCAGCCTTATCAGGCCGCAGTAGAGGACAATGCAGCCACTTTTGATGAGAACTTATAGACTAAGATCAGAAAGAAGAGGAGAACCTCCCCTATCAGTGGACTTGGGGAGTGGCATGCATGCAGAAAGGGGAGGGAGGGTGGGGTTGGGAAGGGAGGAGGGAGGGGCTTTTGGGGGGATACAAAATGAATAAAGTGTAATTAATAAAAAATTAAAAAAAATAGTTTCAAGCCCATGGTCATATGAATGTCCCTACCTAAACTTAGTGTGTCACAAAACAAAAGAAAATAAAACCAAAAGGCTATGAATGTGGGAAAGGAACTTGTACAGAGGAAGGGTGAGTTGACAGAGGTAGAAGGGAGATAGGACAAGGAAGGAGTTCAGAGTAATCATAATAAAGTATATACGTGTTTGAAACTGTCAAAGAAAAGATTTGATAAAAATTATATTAATATCATTTAGGTAGGAAAATGAGTAAGTATTATTAGGGAGCAGTGATAATATGATAATATTCTAGAAAAGTTAAATATGATGCTTCTTAAGTTCAACTCTCCTTTAAAGACTGATTTTTAAATCTTACAGAAATATGGAGCCTTGGCACCCAAAGGAATGCAGAGGTCAGAAGCCTGGAGAAGTGTTGAAGAAACTGGAATGTCTTCTCATTGTCCCCCAGCATTATCAGGAACAGAGAAGACGCAAACCAGTCATGGCCTGAGTAGTTTCCTTGCAAGCACACTGCAGAACTGTTAAGGGACTTTCATTTTAGCTTAGGAGAGACACTATTTCATAAACATCCACTTTTCAGACCTATGTCTAGAAAGAAATATTAATCGTACATCGTAATCACTATGTCCTCAGTTGGTTTATGAGCTATTGATAACGGAAGATACTGAAGCTGTCGTGGTTAAGTGTATATATGAAAAATCAGTGGCATAATCATTCTTTTAATGTGCTACTGGATTGTGTGTGTAGGTAGAGCCAATGGTAACTGCCATCAAAGGAAAACCTGCCCTGTGAACCTTCATCTGTGTCCATCTATAAGAGGAGTGTATGTGTTTTTATGTAAGGTTATCTGTCAAGCAACTAGCATAATGAGGCAAAAATCTACAGAATTTAGAATTCAGCAATGCTGAATTCAGAAAAACAGTTCCTATATTTTTTTCTTAAGGTCAAATTCCATTTCTGAATACTAATTCAAATGAAATAAATATAGTGCAAAAGCAAAAGCCTTATAATTACTCTAGATCTATAATGCCTTTTTTTTTTTAATTCCTGGATTTGTCAGAAAATGCCTTCAGAATGATTTCAACTCAGTTTAAGATGCAGTGAATACAACTGAGTCTAAGGATCATAAATCAGTTTAATAAAATGTATGTTTAAAACACAGAATAAGATACTAGAAAGATACACAGTAACAAATCACATCCTATGAAAGATCTATGGGAAATATTAGAAGACAGTTCAGTTCTGCGTAAATCCACTTAAAAAGGATATGAAGAGAAGAAGTGACTGCTGACTGCTGTTGTTTCAGAAACTTCTCACAGTGCTTTAAGACCAAGGCGAGATCATTTTCTGCACCATCTTTCAACAAGTTGAGAAACTTGCCATACCTGTTAAAGAGCCAAAAATCACAAAATGCAAATTATCAGGATCTTCACTGCACATCCATCTTTAGACACCCATCAGAGTGTCTTTCTTCTGAGACCTCAAGGTCTGGAGTTTTCAAGATTCTACATTAAGCAAGGCACTCAATATTCATTCCTGACAGTTACAACATGTTTGGATCAGCAGCTTTAACTGTTACCTTTCTAGGAAAGTGAAACCATAAAGAAAAAATAACAAGGTAGAACACTACAGATGAGCTGAATGTATGGATTTTTTTTTTTTTCTGAAATCAATCTAAAGCACAAAATACTGAGTTCCATTTGTTCCACTTCCAAGCTTAGTATGACCTTACTTGGTCTGCACTTCAGGAAGTCTCCTTCTTAGTGGCAACATTGCTAGTAATGTTTAGTGTTTTTGCTGCTGTTACCTTAATGACTGTACAGGATAGTAACTGTACCATGCTACAGTATATACAAACTCTATATTATACATTATTTTCCACTTACTTTCTATAAATAAGAAATTGTATTGAGTTAAAGTATGTGTAACATAATCTGTAGGTTCTGCTTCATTGGAAGTGGGGCAGTAAAAGAAAACTTTTATTAATATGTATGTGGAGTTACATAACCTAATCAACCTAAGTTATTCTGGTGGGGATGGAATATTGGAATACATGCCATGATTTTCGTCACAGTGAGCATTTATATGCTCAAACATTTATTATCTCTCACATGTGCCTTGTTAGACTTTACTCAAAAGATGGCCGTCTAATTACAATGGAACAGTTAAGAACCTCTTATTAAATGTTGTTCATTAAGAACAAGAAGAAGAGATTAGTAGCTAGTTCATACTCTAGTGTACATACTTTTTCAAATATTAATATATGAGCTCTAAAAAACTCAGACTATGACAATTTTGGTTTATTCATTTGCACTTCTTAGTATATCTTTAAGGTATGTTTGTCTTCACTGTAACCTGACAACTAGAACAAATCATGTTTTAGAAGATGTATGATTATGCTATAGCATGCTGATTTTTGCAACACTGATTTTTGGATGGAAAAAGAATCTAATAGTCATAGAGAAACACACTAATTAGCTTTTGGAATAATAATAAGCTGTAACTGATTCACAGCCAGAGGTAATTTAATCATGTGCCAATATCCTAAAAGATAATACTATTTTTTTCTGAGTGATAAACTCTGCATTTAAAGTATACAAAGTAGTTGGTTGTTAAATATTATTAAGCACACACCAGGTAGATAAATCCTAGGAATGTATGAGGGAGACATTTCCTTACATACCTGACAGTCATTTTAATGCCAAGCTGCTGAACAGCTGAGAGAGTTTCATTCTTCACATTTGCATCAGTAGCTAACAACAATAGAAAAGGGAGTTATAAAAATGTATAAAATTCTGCATAATAATCACATGTTAATTGAAAAATGATGAAAGCAATATTTTTACATATTTTAATGTGAATTTTGAAAACACTGATGAATTTGTTCTTTTAGAAGCTGTCACTTACATTTTCAAAGAAATTAACAGGAAAGTTTTCATAAAAAACTTTTATCCTGTAAAATTGTTTAAAAACTGAGAGTGTGGGTTATATATATCCCAGCACTGGGAAGGCATAGACAGAAGCATTAGGATTTTGAAGCCATGTATGGCTATATAGTAAGTTCAAGGCCAGCTTGGGCTACATAAAACCCTGTTTCTAAAAGAAAATGAAACCAAAAAGCATATAAAATGATTAAGTTATCTGGTGCAAAACAATAGAAAATTAACAAAATATAAAAAGCTTTAAAACACTCAAAAGTGAACTAAAATACAACGTTTTCATCACGCAATGCTTATATAAAATTCTAAATGACCAGTGTATGTAAGCTTGGCTCTGTATTCCTTCCTAATACTTATGTTGAACTCTTTCAATAAGCCCTCTGAGATGCTGACTTCCAGACATGACATGGTTCTTTACACACCATCTCAAAGCAGCTATGACTACTTGTACAAGACCTTCAGAAGATCAAGCCAGTCAAAATTCCGGCATGGGCAGAGGATGGGAGATGAAGACCTACCCCTAGAAAAAGAACTACTGACAGTGGATAGTTCCTGACATAGAGACAAAGAGAGAAGGAGGGAAGGAGGAATAGGGAGGGAGGGAGGAAGAGAGAAAGTCCCCTTTAAGAACATGGTTACTGGTAGGTTCCCTATGCCTGAATAGATGTCCCCATACCCATGCACATATTGGTAGCACTAAGTGGACTCAAGGGGTTATTGGTTACAATAATAAAAAGAGGGTGTGATATTGGTAATGAGACAGGATAGGAACACACAGACGACTGGAGGGGTAGAGTCGTAGACGGGTAAGATTATAATACATTCTATAAATGCATTAAGTTTCAAAGAATAAATTTTAAAAATCTTTAAGAGCTAAGATACATAGCTCAGTAGTAAAGTTCTTGCCCCTGGGCTCACTCCTCAGTGACATGTACAATATTTTTCAGCAGACCAAATTCAACTTCTACCAAATCACATTACATGAGGGCTGAGTGACTAGGTTTCTCTTTCTAGGTCAGATTTTCTTTGTGAAGTAGGGATTGTGATCACCTATGAAAAATAGAAAGGAAGTGCATGTCGCAGTAGACAAGAGAGATTGAAAGTTTCGATTGATTCTGGGATGCACAGGATGACCAAGTTAATGTGAATAAAGGCAAAGTTAGGTACAATTCAGAAGATAGCTGAAAATTTATACTTTTATCTGATAAAAGCAGAGTGTCCATACATACACATGAGTACTATTCAAGAACAGAAATGGACACTATGAGGGCAACCATCCACAAATCACACAGTGACAGTGAAGAAGAAAAGCTAGATTTTTTTGAATCTTATTATCACTGAAGGTTTCCATTCATTGGATACTGGTATATCTCATACTACTGTAAAATCTATTTCAAGTGAAGATTCATTCATTCCTTGTAATGAATCATTTCTGATAAAGTGAGAAACAGTATGAAGGATTCATAGGGGTAAGGGATAAAATGAAATATCATACACTAAAAGAACTTTTCATGTAGTGTCAGAGATAAAATTTGTACACAGATAACTGATAAAGGGGTTTCAAAGCTCTAAGCAGAAGAGTGGTGCAGATAAAACACTGTGTGGACTCCAAAGAGAAAGAGATTTCTTCCAGCTGCTTAAGAAGTGGCATTTCAGCTGAATCTTGAAAAAGGAGTAGATCTTAGATCTTTCGAGATGGGCAAGAACAAATTTAATGTCACTGCTGTTGAATACTGCCTTTCTTGACCAACAACAAAGGATCTTCAGTACTCGCAGTGAAAGCAAGCAGTGCACCTGGTTTGCCTGCACATTTCATACGCTGGATCCCTGAAAGTCTCATACTGCAGGAACTACGCCAGCCCCTGGAAAACTAGACCATATGCTGACCATGCCCGGAGTGGCAATTTTCTTACAGAACACTTAAAGAGGAGGTAGTATTGACATGGTTCAGAAAGTTAAGGCAGAGAATCTGAACCTGATTCTGGTACACAATTAAAATAAAAAGAAGAACCTATTCCACAAAATTGTCTCCTGACTTCCATACACATGTGCAGTACACTATCTGTCTCCCATACCATAATAAAATACAAACACACACGTACACATCATAGTAATAGATACAACTTTTAAAACCACCTTTTGTAAGGTACTTGGTTACTTCCCGGCAAACTATAGCTGAGTTTTATTTATACTGGAATCCAGTAAGTAACATTAATTTATTTTGTCTCTAATGATAGCAATTAGGCTGCGGTTCACATAGCTTAGCATTTCTTGGTATTTATAATTCTCACTGAGTTATAGATACATGTTTTTTTCACTGGTGGAGGAGGGCAGCTCTGCTCTTCCAGTAGTAGATAGGTAATCAATCTGCAGCAACAGCAATTTGCAGTAATGTCATCTCTACGAACTTCAAGCTCCTCTCTGTCATGAAGGTGTAAGTTACCCTCAGTATCTGGGAGACAAAAATGTATCTACTGTAAAGAGATGTAAAGGGATCAGTGCTGAGCTCAGCTCTGCTCTGTTTGTGAGCTCGTGTTTCTGTTCCTTTGCCTGCACAGGGTAAAAGTTTGATTTTGGCTTCTATTACTTGGTACCAAACATACACACACATACACAAACATATGTATGTGTACATATATAGACACACATATATATACACACCCACACATATTATATATACACATACATAAATGTATACACACATTTCTTACTCCAATAGTTTTATGGTCAACTTTTAAAATTATCACCATTTATATATGAACTGTAATTTCCAATCTTCAGTTGACAATGTGTTTTAAAATTTAGCCATAAGTATATTCGTTTGTATGCTTACTACAATGTAATCAGGTTAAGTTGTGTAGAAACTAGAAACATCCTTCTGATTTGTGTTTAGTGCCTAAGGCTGATCCTTTATTTTACGATGCACTATGTTTTAGTTTTCTAATTTAAATAATGTAAAATTTTCATGCTGTGCTGTCAGTGACAATGCCTAATTTTGTAAAATTTATGTTGTTTTAGGAAAATAAAACTGAATATGTGACATTTAAAAAAAGAAAATTAAAATGTGATCATATGTTCCTATAACCATGGAACAGACTGCCTATCAACCATCATGTGACAATAATATGATTTCCAAAACCACTCTAAGGGAGATAACACTTGAAGTTCCAGGACATATAAAACTGTTTCACCTAGCATTTACTAACACAAAGTAATAGTAACCTTTTCCTTCTGGAATATACAATGCAAGCAGCTTTCATATTTGTTTGACTTGAGATCTCATTCTGCAGGCTGGCTGGCACCGCCCCGCCCCCCCCCCCCCCCAAGTACTCCTGCTTTGTGGCCTCCTGAGTGCTGGGATTATTCTTATGCACTACCACCCCTACCTCAGACAGCTGTCTTAACAGGAGAGGTGGAGATCTGCAGGGGTATTCCCCAAGCCTTGTTTCTAGGAGTCATAGTGGCTTCTGCCAAGAAACAGGCCCTGCACATCCTGGCAAGCAGGATGCAGCTAAGAACAAGGTGAGGGATGTTGGCTCAAGCGACAATGCCACCAAATGTGAAAATCTGTTCTGTCAGTCTCTCCTTATGCAGTAAAAGGTGCTTCCAGCTTGGGGTCTAGTTCTGTCCTAGAAGTTAATGACTGTATTGTCATGTTAAAACAAAGACACAAACAACAACAACCCTGCTCATGTCCAATGGAAACAGCTCCCAGTTTTGGTTGTGTATCAAAATCCACTGAGGAGCTTTTTAACAGTAAGGAGAAGCAAGTATCAGTGAAGACTAGTGAATTCAATTACAAAGCATGAGTCCTTGTTCAATTTTAGTTTTAGATTTCTACACTATCATTTCATGAGCCTTAAAGTTGAGATTCACATTCTATACGGGTAAAATCCCAATACTGGTTCAAGTGAGGAGTAATATTTACTATAGAATTTTCACTTTAATAAAGGTTGCAATTAACCTCAAAAAGGTGTTTTAAAAAGTGTTATAAGGAGGTACTGGATGATCAAAATCAACATCAAGTACCTGATTAAAAAAATAGTATTGTGAAAAAGATTTTAAAACCAAATTTTCATATGACTAAAATCCTACAGACAAAAATTTCATTTAATTTTTTAGAAAAGGTCTTCAAAACAGGAATGAACAAGCCCATCTATTCCCACCCCAAAATGATTTCAGAGCATAAATTAAAGGAGAAGCACCAATTATTGACTTGTATTTGATATATATGTGACATCTTTGTAAGACGAAGAAATGACTATTAGCCTGTTAAAGCCTCATGAGAGAAACCTTCATGTACAGTCTTGGACTAAATGTAACTTATTTAGGAAGAATCAAAACCTTTACAAATAAAATTTCAAAAGAAATTATGTGGTAAAACCAATAAGAAAAATTCCATGATTAAAAAAAATTAGGAATCTTCAATCAGGTGTAGGGTGATGTATTTCTTTAATCCCAGCAATTGGGAGTTTGAGGCAGAAAGATTCCAAGTTCAAGGTCATCCTTGGGCTACAGAGCAAAAAGCTTTCTCAAAAATAAAACAGTAAAATGAATGTCTTCATGGGACTCTGATGTTCTGATTAGTAACACTTACTGATATGCATAAGAGAATGTAGAAGAAATGACAGGAGCCTGACACTCAGTAAGGAAGTAATGACCCTAAAGTGAAACCTCAGTGAAAAACAACTGAAAGCTACATGACCTGTCAAACTGGGGCCAAAGAGCCACATGGCTCACAATTGCCTGAACCTTCAACTGCAGCTAATCTGACGCCCTCTTCTGGCCTCTGTGAGTACACATTTATGTGGCAT